GCTATTTTTCCTGGATATAAAATATTCCTTTTAAGTTTTTTTTTTTTTTTTTCCTTGAGGTTTCTGGTGCTTGTCCTCACTAGAGAGCTAAAGTGATAGTGAAAGGGAATGTGAGAAATCACCCCCAGGGAGGTGGCCATGCTGCAGTCCCTTATAGGTTCTTCTCCTCCTGGGATTTTGGGCACACAGGCGCATGCACTGGGCACGACTTTCAAGCTACCAGGTCTGGGACTCAGACTGTGGTTGGCCATATGGGAGGCTAGTACCTTAACCTCCATGCCACCTGCTGGCCCTTCCTTTCAAGTTTTAGTATTGTAAATTAAATAGCATTCCACTCTTCCTTAGGAGGGGTAGCTTAAGGATTAAGTGCAACTGCAACTTTTAAGCACGCGTAATTCCACAGATAGAAATACTAGGAACATTTTTGTAGGGGAATGGGATCATCTTAAGCTTTCTACTGCTACTTCATTTTTTTTTCCTGAGAATTAACTATTATTATTATTTTTTATTTTTATAGCTATTTTTAAATTTGACCAGAGACAGGAGAGAAGTGAGAAAGCAAGCCACCAAGGACTTGAACTGTGGTTGGATATGTGGGAGTCTAGGTCTTAACCACCATGTCACCTGCTGACTTCTGATGTTTCTTTTTTACTTTTAACTTTTGAAAATTTGCCCGAGGGTCTACGTGTTTGTGGTTGGGAGGGTAGCACTCCCCTTTGGAGCACGATCATGCCACAATCCCTTCTTCTCCATCTGTGCTCCTCACGGGATTTTGGGTGCACACGCACACGTGCCTGGCATGTTTCAATCCTGCTGCGTCCTGGACTTCATCTCCATGATCCTCCATGTGGGATCCAGCTACCTCAACTCCCACGCCGTGGGCTAGCTCATGTCTGCAATTCTGTGGACATTCGAGGGATACTTCTACAATCATGTCCATGGAATAGATTCCTAGCGCTGATGTGTGGGGTCTGTGTGTTTCATCTTTAATCTGTGTAAATTTTGGATAATCCGAGTTTCGCCCACATGTTCTCCTACAATGTTTTATGATTTGAGTTCCTTTTTCCTCACCTACACTCAATAATAGTCATTATTTTTCCCTCATTTGTGACAGAGCAGGATTGTGTGCATATGAGAGACAGACTAGGGCTAGGTCAGGCTGCAGTCCCTCACCCAGGCCTCCAACCTGCTGTGTTCCAGGCATACACATGTGCACCCAGTGTGTGTTTTATGGGGGCAGTTCCCCCTACAGCGCAGAAGCTGGGCCTAAGGTGTTACGGTTTGAAACAAGTTTACCTTCAAGACTGAGAAGAGTAGGATGGATGACACCGTGTGCGTTTGTGTGTCCTCTTTGCTGGGCTTGCGTGTATTTTGCTGAGCCCAGCGATCTCGTGTGTTCAGTGGCCATCTGCCTATTCTTGTGCACTATGGGATCATAACTCTTCTTCAGGTTGTCGGTCACCCTCTTGTTTTTAGTAGGCACAGAATATTTAGGAGGCTGTAAGTGGTAATTTTGCATGACAGTATTTTATTGTGGTTGTCAGTTTTGTTTCTTTATGCTTGTCAGGACCACAGTAATGAGAAGAGGAATGGAGACTTCCTTCTTCAGTTAATGGTGTCTTGTCCTGGCTCCTTGAGTAAAGGAAGCCAGCATCTGTAATTTGCCAGCCGTTGTCCTGGACACTAAAGCTGGGACGCAGCCCTCCTGGAGCTGACATTCTCTCTGGAGTAAACCAGGGACACCTTGGCTCAGATTGAGTGTAAATCCTTGCCCTGGATTTGATGGGTCGAAGCTGGGCTCTGGGAAGCTGATGTTCAGAGGTGGGACTTGAGCAGTGAGGAATCCCAGCCAGTGCTACCTGGGGTGGGGATGGGGGTCCTTCCTGGGGAACCTCTGGTGTAAAGGCTGCAGGTGGGACAGGCTTCATTTTTCCAGCAGGAGGGGTTGTGGTTTGCAGATCCCAGAGGGCAGGCCGGAAGGGCCAGGGTGAGGTTGGAGGACAGGTTGGACTTCCTGCTAGGAAATGGGCCATCTCTGGGTGTTTTCAGGTGGTGGAGTGATGTGCTCTCATTTCGCAATTCTGGGCAGATAGTGCCCGGGGAAACAGGTGTTGAGGCAGGGATGCGGCAGACTGTGGGAAGTGCTTTTAGGGTCAGGGAAATGATGGGGTGGGGCCATGTTGCCTGATGTATTTTTTCCCATGATTGCATGCCCTCTCCCCTGCACTGTGCAGTTTTAGACAGCTTTCTTCCTATTTGTCCTGTGAAATTAAAAAAAAAAAAAGTTGTTTTTTTTTTAGGATTTTGCCATAGGGCACGTGTGCTTGCCAGAGACAGAGAGAGGGAAAGTGGGAAGTCACCCCTACCCACCCACGCAGAGGGGTCGGCCGTGCTGTAGTTCCTTCTCATCTTTTCTTATGATTTTGGGCACACATGAACACATACCCAGCATTATTTTTAAGTTTCTGGGTCTGGGATTTGAACCATTGTTAGCCATTTGGGAATCCAGTGCCTTAACCACCATGCCTCTTGCGGTCCCTGTCCTGTGAAAGTATGAAAATGGAGGGGGAAATCATCAACAGAACTGACCATGTTGTGGGGCACATCTCGGTATTTGGTGCGTTTGTGGTGGTGTGCTGCCACGTCGCTGTGTCTCTGTCGTCGTAAGACCATTCATCACACCAAAATCAAACCCTGGGCACAGTAAGCAGCCAGCCGCTCTCCACTCTCCCCTCCTCACCCTCATCCTTGAGCCACATCCCTGGGCTCCCCCTACTGTTTGCTAGTGGCAATGCCCCTTCCCTAGTTACAGCAATCAAAATTGTCTGCAGGTAGCCCTGTGTGTCTTCGAGGGCGGGATTGCTTGTGACTAAGAACTACTGGTCCAGGTAAAACCGAAGCACTGGATGCTCATGGGGAAACCAGAAATAATATCGTGCGTGTTCATGGTAAATAGTAACGTAGAGCTTACCTGGCAGGCACTGTTGAGGTGACAGTGGGTGGTTTAGTCCTCACGGCAGCCTGATGAGAGGGTATGCTGTAGCTACTTCTGTCTTCCCATTCCATAGTGTTATTCATATCCCTCCTGGCCGCAGCCAGAGAAGAAGGTGCCGAGGCCCTGGAAACTTGCCCTGGGTCAGAAGATGGGCTAGGATTTGAACCCACAGTGTCTGGCCCTTTTCTGTGTCTGCAGTTTTTCCCACTCTCTATTCCACTAATATATTGCTTCGGGACCCACAGGTAGCATGGTGGTTAAGGACACTGGACTCCCAATGACCGACTGCGATTTGAGTCCCGGACCTGGTGGCTTGCTCGTGCTCGCTTGCTCTCTCTCGCTCCAAATTTAAACAAACAAACAAACAAATAAAGTTGAATAAAATAATTCTAAAAACCACATTGTTCCTTCCTAGTGCTGGGGCCATGCAGGCTGGCTCTGTGTGCTGACTAGCTGAGCTGATGTGCAAGTTTGGTTCACTGAGCCCTCACTCAGCATTCCCATAGGGCAGATGAGGGAACCAAGGACGCTCGGTGTCCTTGGTGACATCTGATTCCTGATGTCTTTGCCACCAACAGATTTATTTCCAGACCAGGTATCTCCTCACTGGTGCTTCTTGTTCCTTTGAGGAGTGTCGTCTCTTGTCAGCCTTAGCTGTTTTTTGAGTATTGCCCTAGGGCATGCGTGCTCACCAGAGAGAAGCAGACAAAAAGGCAAAGTGAGAAATCACCCACCAAGGGAAATGGCCACACTAAAATCCCTTCGCCTCCATTCTCTTCTTGGGATTTTAGGTATGCACACACCTGTGCCTGGTGTGTCTTCAAACCCCCGAGTCTGGGACACGGCCCGTGGTCTTCCATGTGGGAGTCAAGTACCTTCACCACCAAACCACCCGCTGGTGCCAGTCTTAGCTGTTTTTAAAAGGATACAGGAGGTGTGAACAGGATAGCCCCAATAATGTGGAGTGGGGAGAGCACTAGGGCAGTGCCTGAAGGTGTTAGGATCCCCCCCACCCCCAAGGCTTGTAGTAATGGCCTAAGTGGTCTAGTTTCCAGTCCCTTAATGTTAGGCTCAGAAGGAGCAGGTGGGTGCAAGGTAGTTTTAAAGCCTCAGACATAGTACCTTTTTCTTTTTCTTTTTTTTTTTTTTTTTTTCCTTTTTGAGAAATTTTTGCTACAGAGCACATGCGCTTGCTGGAGAGACAGATACAAAACACGAGAAGTCATCCCTCCTGTTTCCCCCGAGGGAATGGCCCCTTCTCAATCCCTTCTCCTCTATTGTCCTCTCGGATTTTGGGCACACACACACATGTGCCTGATGTGTGTTTTAAGCTCCCAGGTCTAGGACTCCAACTGCAGTTGACTAAGTGGGACTCCAGTGACAAAATCATTTTGCCATCTGCTGGTCCTACCATATATATTTTTCTCTTTCTGTAAAAGTTTGAAATATGATATGGAGGGGAGAGAACTCACTAATACCTTCCTCCCTCCCCTTTGTTCGGAGTTTGGCTTCATTCCACCTCACAAACCTTGAAATGGGACCCGGAGATTTCCCAGGGGACAGAGTTGGTCACCGGCAGGTGGGCTGGCTGCGTGTGGGCTGCCTGCCCTGTCTTCCCACAAACGGATGACATGTCATGCGCATGTCTGGCTCCGGATCTCCACATCTGGACCCCGTGGGGCTGGTGTAATCGCTGTTTATTTTGAGATTCACACCCATGAATGGGCCAAACCAATTTCAGTGGCAGCTTAGCCGATTTGTCTTAGAGCTTTGTGCTTCATAGAATAACTGGAGAGGCAGGCCGTCTTTCTCTGTGGCTTTAACGGTTTAACATGGGGTTAAGGCCCCTTGCTTTGAAAGTGAATGATTCCATGCCCCTTCTGATGCTGTGGGGGCCTCGCTGAAATCAAATACAGTTTCTCTCTGCTCCCCCTGCCCCACACCTGCAAGAATGACTTGTTTGTTTATTGCAAATCTGTCTTTTAACAGTGCCATCCTTTTTCAGCTTCTCCGGCTTCCACCAAGGCAGGACAAGCGGGGAGTTTATCTGGCAGCCCGAAACCCTTCTCTCCTCAAGCGTCTACACCAATCACCACGAAAGCAGACAAGACGTCCACTACCGGAAGCATCCTGAACCTTAACCTGGGTCAGTTGGAATTTTGGGAACTGTCTGTGGCAGTTGCGAATTACTGTAGCAAGCGGTGGTGTCCTTCCTGGTGTGTGATTCTTGAATCCCGAACTCCTTCTCTGCACAAAATCTAGTATGTACTGTGAATAAAGGCCCGAAGCAATCAAGGAAAGGAACAAGTGAGGCATTTCCTGGGGCATGGTGACTCACAGGCCATTTTCTGTGATGTTCCTTGGGCCTCGGCATAAGGGTGGACTTGTCCCTGAATACAGGAACCCAGTTCTTCTGCATGCAAATTGCACATATGTAACGTCTGCATGTTTCATGAGTATCTCCTGTGGAGTGTACTCGGATACACTGCTTTCTTAATTCTTTGTCTACTTTTAAAAATGCTGGCCTTCATCCCAATGATAATAATGAGAACACCTACTGGGAGCAGCAGGTGGCATAGTGGTTAAGGCACTGGACTCCTATGTGGCTGACCACAGTTCGAATTCTGGACCTGGCATCTTGAAACTCACGTCAGGCGTGTGTGCACGTGTGCCCGAAGTCCTGAGAGGAGAATGGAGGAGAAGGGATTGTGGTGTGGCCATCCTCCCTGGAGGTTGATTTCTCACTTTCTATCTCTCCGATGATCGTACATGCCCTAGAGCAAAAATCTCTTAGAAAAACAAAACAAAACAAAAAGAAGAAGAAAAATAATTCTCACTAATTTTTGACCCACTGGGCTTCACTGCTTTTTGTTTTGTTTTGCATAGGACGTATGTGCTCACCAGAGTGAAGTAGATGGAAAATAAGAAATCACTCCGTGGGGCAATGGCTACGCTGGAATTTCTTCTCTTGGGGTTCTGGGCACTCACATACATGTGATTAGTGTGATTATCAAGCCACTGGGTCCAGTACTTGAACGATGCAGTTGGCCATGTGGGATCCAGTGGCCCCAACCTCCATCCCACCTGCTGGCCCCTCAGTTGATGATTTTAGAAACACTACCTTAGGCTAAAGTCTAGCAAAAATTGGTCCCAGCCATGCTAACCCGGACACGTGTTAAACTCTTATGTTAATCGATTGTCCCCTCACGACCCCATGTGCTCTGTGTAGTGTTACTGCCCTGGCATGGAGATGGTACTGACCAGCTCCTGTGAGGCCCCTGCTCTGGTGGAGCTTGGCTTCTGTAGACAAGAGATAATTGTCACGGCAGACACGCAGACGGTTCACGCTATGACAGATGCCTTGATGGTGACGTGGGGTGAACATACTGATGTGATCAGGAAAGAGAGGGCAGGTTGGGGCAAAGGAGGAGGAGGTTCACTCAGGTGGGTGGGCAGTTGGGAAGGCCTCTTTGAAGAGGTGATGTTGAAGCTGAGATTTACATGACTAACACTGTCTTGCCAATATCTGGGGAAGGACTTCTAGAAAAAGCAAGAGACATAAAGCCCTAGGGTGGGGAGTCACTTGATGGGTTAGGAATACCCAGGAGGTGGATTGCTGCTTCCTGCCAAACGAGTAGTCCCTGAAGTCAGAGCACTGGGACCTTCTGAACCCCGGTGTGGAAGGTTTGAGCAGAGGAGGGATGTGCGGGGACTTTACATTTCAGGTGGTCTGATCTGGGTGTTGTGTTGAGAATGCCCATTCTTGATTTCTGTCAGTCATTCTCATCGTGGTGGGGGCTGATTATTTTTTTGGGGAAGTAGGTTTTTGCTATATAGTGTGTGCACTCTCCGGAAAGAGAGAGACAGAAGACAGAAAGTGAGAAATCACCTCCCTGGGGGAATGGCCACACCACAATCCCTTCTCCTCCATTCTCCTCTCGGGATCTTGGGCACACACGCACACGCGACTGGCGTGAGTCTTAGTCACCAGGTCCAGGACTCGAACTGTGTTCGACTACATGGGAGTCTAGTGACTTAGCCATTATGCCAACTTCTGGTCCCACGGTGGCTGATTTTGTCCTCTGTCACTAAGGACCCCCTAGTCACGTCTCGAGACACTTTTGATTGTCACACTTGAGGGGGGTAGTGGCACTGGCTTCTAGTGCTTAGCGGCCAGGGTGCTGTTAAACAGCCTGCAGGACATGGGACAGACCCCAGCAAGCCCCCAAGAATTTCTGGGTTGTGCCAGCAGCTTGGTGTGTGGAAAGAAAATGGGAGCGAGTTTGTTGGGGGTGCCTGCCAGACCCCAGGTGGAGGTCAGGAAGACAGCTAGAGGCAGGAATCCTAGTGCCCTGAAGACACATCGAGGCTGGAGGTGTAGTTTTGGGAACTTTGATTTGTATGCAGGATCGAATTGGAGCAGTAGTTCTCATGACTTGGGGTTGGAGATTGGATGCTGTCATGCATCTAGTCGGTGGAGCCCAGAGATGCCCCAAACATCCTAGAGGTTACAGGGCAGCCCCACAACCAAGCCTGCTCCATGTGCATGACCCTGAGGTTTGAGACAGGGCGAGCATATCGGGAATCTGCCAGGGCCCCAGGACACCTGAGCAAGTGGAGGTCAGGGAGAGGAGAGCCCAGCAGCAGAGCCCAGCAAGAGCAGTGGCCGAGGAGGAAGCAAGAGAGGGAAGAGGGTTGCCTTGAGCACGCAGTGTTTCAGGAGGGGAGAGTGACCCCTGTGCTGGGTGAATTCACAGCCTCAGTGGTGGGACTCTCTACGCCATCTTAGTGTTGTTTTCAGACGGAGAAACAGGTCTGCAGGCAGGCTCTCTGTCCAAGTCTCAGAGACAGAGGATGAGAGGTGCAAACCCACCCTGTTCTCTTTGCAGCCAGTGCCTCCTTCATCTGGGGCCACTTGCCAGCATGGCCCAGATGTAAGGGGACAGCCTGGGGGACTTGAATTCAGAGCAACTCTACTCAAGACACCCACTTGATGCCTTGGGAACATTTATTATCCTCAGAAATATGATTTCCTTTTTCACATCCTCCTCCCACCTCTGTGCCCCAAAAAGCAACATGGCATGGAGGCGTTCTCCCAGTGACATTTCCTCCCTGTTGGTCGTGCCTGGCAGGATTTGCCGCTTCCCTATGCTGGGCACTGTGTCCTCACATCTCTGTGGGTCTTTCAGTTCATTTTAGCCCACATGGGAGTGAAAGACGTCTTCCCGCTGGGCGGGCGTGGTGGCCGGAGGGCACAGAGGTAGCAGAGGTGCTCCTATGCTGTCTTCCTGGTCGCGAGTCCCCTCCCTGGGCCACGCTCCTTGCCTTTGTGAGTGGGAATGTCAGCAGCAGGAGCATGGGCGTTTTAGGGGCGGGGATTTCAATGACCTAACAAGAATATGAAGTACTGTGGGTGGGTAGAACAGTTAGACCCTGGATGGAATTGCTCAGTAATTCCTCTGATTGCCCAGGGACTGAGCAGACACTCTATAGACTTCGTGATCTGTGGTCTTATGTTACTCCTGCCATTAGGCAGAAATGATAACAGCATGTCAGGGAGAAGGGTACATTTTTTTAAAAAAATTTTATTTTTAGAGATATTTTTGCTCTAGGGTGCATGCGCTCACTAGAGAGACAGAGACAGAAAGAAAGTGAGAAATCTCCCCCCATGCATGCCATAATCCCTTCTCCTCTGTTCTCTCAAGATTTTGGGCATGCGTGTACACATTCCTGGCTTGACTTTCAAGCTGCTGGATCAGAGACTTGAACCGCAGTTGATCATGTGGGAGTCCGGCGTGTAAGCATTACACCATCTGCTGGTCCCAAAGGATAAGGTTATTATATCTACCCAAATAGGGTGTCATGAATGAACGCATGCTGGAAAAGGCAAAGTTAGAGAGACGGAAGACAGATCAGAGTTTGCCAGGGGTTGGAATTGTGGGGGTGGGGTGGGGATTTCTTGGCTTATGGGATTGTTCTACGTTCTATTTTATTGGTGGTTACCTGAATTTATGCAGGTGTTTAAACTCATAGAACTATCTTTTCCAACGAGTGAACCTTAACTTTCTGTAAATGAAAGCTATTTGAAAACTATGATGGGGTTAGCAGGTGGCAGGTAGTTAAGGCACTGAACTCCCACACAGCTGACCACAGTTTGCGTCCCTTACTCATGCTGGGCACGTGTGTGTGTGTGTGCCCAAAATTCCAGGAGGAGAATGGAGGAGAAGGGATTGAGGCATGGACATCCCCCCAGAGGTTCTTTCTCGCTTTCTCGCTCTCTCTTTCGGTCCAGCAAGCACATACTCTCTATAGCAAAAACCTCTTAAAAAAAAATTGGGACCAGCAGTTAGCATAATGACTATGTTGCTGGACTTTCATGTGGTCTACCGTGGTTCGAGTCCTGTACCAGGCAGCTTAAACTCATGCCAGGCACGTGTGCGTGCGTGCCTGAGATCCCGAGAGGAGAATGGAGGAGAAGGGATTGCAGCGTGGCCATCCCCCCGGGGGTGATTTCTTGCTTTTTGTCTCTCTGTCTTTCTGGCGAGCACACACGTCCTATAGCAAAAACCTCTCAAAAAAAAAAAAAGTTGGCAATCAGATGAAAACTCTACTTGGGCTAAATATATGTGACCAACAATAAAAAGAAGTCCATGGTTGTTACTTACCTACTCTTTGTATGGCATATGAGTGTGTGTATGAACACACAGGTATGTGCTGTGTGGGTAATGAGTATACGTTTGAGCATGTTGTATATGAATATATGGTACATATGTATATGCATATGAGTGTGTTGTATGTGAGTATATGTGAGTACATGATACATGCATATCATATGTGAGTATATGGTGTGAGGATGTGCGTGACTGGTATGAGCGTGTATATGAGTGTTCGGTACTCACCGTGTGAGGATATTGTATGTGTGCATGTGAGTATGCATATATGAGGAAGTGAACATAATGCATACATGCGCTTGTATATTTTCATGGTATCTGAGTGCATGTAAATGAGCATGTGGACACCCATTGCGTATGTGAGTACATGTCTCTGACGGTGCGGTGTATGTACCTGGTACGTGAAGGGATTTTTTTTTAAATTTAACTTTTTTTTATTATTTATTCATTTGTTTATTTCAATTTGACCAGAGAG